CCTCTTTCTTTCCCTCTCGGTTTCTGGGTCTCCGAACAATTCCGATGGAGCAAGGACCAACCTCTCTGGCTTTCTTCCCCCCCCCCCCCCCCCCCCCCTCTCTCCAGGAGAGGGTAGAGGCAGCTTCAGGATCTCCCGGGAGGGAGGGGGCTCTCCGTGCCCTTCTCCATGCCCACCTGGAGCTTTGATCCCAGGTAGATGACCAGGTGGGGTCTTGGGAAGGAAACGGGGAAGGAGTTAGGCCCGGACCGGATGCGCGACGTGATTCCTACCGTGATGTATTCTGCTTCTCTCGCGGAGCGAAACGGGTTTGCGCTTCTGAGTTGCGTTGTTCGCCCTGGAGGAAGCTGAGCTGGAGGAAGGGGAGGCTAGAGAGTAACAACCTTGTTCCGTGGGCTTTGAAACAAACAGCGACATTTATTCAAAGCACATTTTTACAGGTAGTCCTCGACTTACGACCACAATGAATGAACGAATGGAACTGATCCCAACACTTCCTTTGCTAAGTGAGACAGTGGCTCAGTGAGTCCCGCCCCCTTTTACGACCTTTTCACCACAGCCGTTAAGCGAATCTCTCCCGTTGTCCAGTGAATCGTGGCTTCCTGCCCTCCCCCTCCCCTCCCTTGACTTCGCTTGCCGGAAACCGGCTGGGAAGGTCGCAAAAGGGAACGACGCTGCAACCGTCATAAGTGCATGCCAGTTGCCAAGCTCCCAAAGTCAGATCGGGGTGGGGTGGGGTGGGGGAACACCGCAACAGCCATAATTGTGAGAACTGTTGGTAAAAGATCCCTTTGCTCAGTGCCGTCGTAACTTTGAGCAGTCACTAAGCGGATGGTTGTAATTCGAAGACTACCTGAATTCTTATTTTTTTCAAAGGGAAAAGCGGTGTCCTTTCTCTCCATTTCCCCAACCCCTGGCGATGGACGATTGGCAGAGAAGGTCTGTTGTCTGTCCTCCACGGAAGGGGGAGGAGCTTGAACCCGGGGTAGAGGACTGGATCCAGGTGTTGACGCAGTGGGGAGCGTATGACGATAGGTGTCTTCTTGTCTTGCTGGGGATGTGGCCCAGAGTTCCTGTGGTGGCTCTTCCTAGGTTCTTGGGATGAGCGTCTGCCCCATTGCAAAGAAGGCTGAACCTCCTGAGATACAACCTGGAGTCCTGGGTGCAGAAGGTCCTTGTGGAGTCAGGGTGTGGAGACCACCTCCTTCCTGTGGCCCACCTACAATTTTTGGTGTCTTCCTTACCCAGACGAGGTGCTGCGTCCCCTCTACTCTCCCATCCAGTTGTATTTGGGCCACAGGAAGATCTTCATACAGGAAGGTGCTGAACCTGGACAGGCCCAGCTTTTAGCTACAACTCTTAGCAACAGTGGTGGGGAATTTGGAAGGAACAACGCGGCCACAAAAGCTTCTGTTTCTCCTGGGGGGGACCAGTCAGGTGCAGCCCGGTGAAGAAACGGAAGTTGTCAGTATTATGGGCTGTGGAGCTTCTCCTCCGGCCCAGACAACGGCATTTTCCTTTTTTTCTCTCTCTCTCTGTTGATTCACCCTCTGCTACGATGTTCCTCAACCTGAAGAGGTGTGGACTTCCAGAATTCCCCAGCCAGCAAATCTGTTGTATCTCAGAAGGTTTCAATCTCGCATCAGGATTTTGGGAGTTGAAGTCCACACCAATTTCGAGCTGCCAAGGTTGAGAACTTGCTCTTGGTAGAAACCAGCAGTATTACTAACCCACCATGGGACTCTGCTCCCTTCCTTCATGAATCTTCCCAGTGGCTGTGTTTGTTCTGGTCTTCGTGTAGTTGGTTTGTTTTTAAGATCATAGTTTGATCAGGGCTTCCTGTCCTCAGTATAAACTTCGACGACGTGGCGAAGGCCACGTCAAGAACAGGTCCCACCACCCAAGGGGTGACTGTCCTCTTGGTAGGACTCCGCCTCTTGATCTTCTACTTTGATTAGTTACTAAAGGGGATGACTCCCCCTCTCCCCCTCTCACCCTCAAAAGGGTGCAATGGAGGGAACGAAGGAATGAATGAATAAACGTTTAAAAAAAATACACAGGGTATTTCGCCCTGCAATGTTTACATATCAGGCTCGCAATGTTCCCTCCGTCCGTAGGGCGCTTGCCAGCTTGTCGGCTTTTGAAGGTTGCCAGCATTTCGACCAAGAGTTTCTTGATCTGGGTTCCCCCCCCCCCCCCCCGGAGGATGATCGGAGTCCAGAGTCGGCCGGCGAGGCTGAACAAATCGACCCCAAGTCATTGCAGCGTTTGTGGCAGCTTGCTCTTGGTGTGCTTCTCCTAACGACGGTGGCGTTTATATCCAAACAGGGCTGGGAAAGTTAGCTCGAGTGAGGGCCTCGCCCTGTGGTGGGCTTGCCTGATGGCTTGGGACAGTTCGAAGCCGACCTCTTCACGGAAAGTCCCGCCGAGGCGCAGAAGCTAGGATGATGAGTGTCCCTGGTGGACGTCTACCTGGGCGTTGCGTTGGTTGAGCTAGGCTTGTTGGAAATGAAATGGGGTTGGCGACCTACCGTTTCCTGAAGTTTGGGGGAGACGTCCCACGTGAGCCCTAGGGAGCCCCAATGTCCTCTAGGAGAGAAGTTGCATTTGGTGTCCTTCTCAAGACTCCAAGAAGCTGGGAAAAGTAACTAAGGAGAGAAAAGTAACTAAGGAGAGAAGTCTTTTCTCTTTGGGGGGGGGGGGGGGCGTTGGCCAGGTCCTTGTCTGTCCCTCTGGCACAGATTTTCCTATGCTGCATTAAAACTCCCCCCTCCCCTCTCCCTTGACTCTTCAGCACTGAGTTATGGACTTCTGCAATATTTCAGTGACTCTCAAAAGGGAGGGGGAAACCACGGTTCTTTTCAGAGGGTCTCCGACCATCAGCGAGGGGGGAGATTCAGCTCTGCCAGGAAAGAACTTAGCACACGGCCCATCTTTCCTTGACGCTCTTAAAACGAAGAGTTTGGTCAACTGACCGGCTGTCTTCGGCCAATGGCTCTGGTTTTGGGGCAGTAGAGGTTGGGACATATAACGGGTGGGTGGGTGGGTTGGGTGGGTGGGTTTAATCTCTTAGGTAGTAGCATGTGTCTGTTTACCTTCTTAGGCCGAAGGGAGGGTCTTCAAGACTCTGAAAACCACTAGAGAACAAACAAAAAACGAAAAATGTGAAACTTATATACTATTCATGTGTTGGTTTGTTTTTTTTTAAAGGAAGCAATATCTATTTAGCATCTTGCACTGATTTTATGGAGTAAGAATGACTGCAAAAAGCATTTTATTGACCGAGGTTTGCAGCTAGGGAGGTTTTTCGCAGGCAGTGGGGGGGGGGGGGGGGGGGAAAAGCCCCTGCCTTTCCACTGGCTGAGATTCTTCTTCTTCTTTTTTACAATGAACAAAAAAAATACTCTTGCAGTTCTGCAGGTGCATCGCATATCATGCTTTCCTTGGGGTGGGCTTGGGGTGGGTGGGGGTGGGTGGGTGGGCCGAGGGAAAAGGGCGATACGGAACAGATTCTTGTGCCAAACTCTGCGTCTTTTTAAATATGGGCAGTATTGAAGGGAGAAGGAGCCTCTTGCCAATTTCTGCCTTCCTGCCACCCCCACCCCAAAAAAACCCCCTGTGCATATTTTGACAGTACAGATCATCCTCAACTTACGACTCCCATTTGGACCCTAGTTTCCATCGCTGGGGGTCATAAAGCAAGCGAGGCCCGATTTTACGAACTTTTTTGGCAAAGCGAATCATTGCAGTCGTTAAGCAAATCGGATGGTCGTTAAATGAATCCATTTCCCCACCCCACCCCCATTGACTTGTCCGGAAGTCAACTGGGAAGTTCTCAGCTGGCAATCCCGTCACACTCCCTGAGACAGTTGCAACTGTCGAAAATACACCCCGGTTTTCAACCGCCCTGACTACGGAGAATTCTGCAGTGGTCGTAAGGGCGAGGACTGGGCTCTCAGTCCCTTTTTTTTTCAGTGCCATTGTAATTTCTGGCAGTCTGGTATGGTCGTAAGTTGAGGACGACCTCTATCTGGTCTCTGCTTCTTCTTATTTCATCCCACTTTCTCCGTCGGGAGGTTGTGTACCGAACTGGCCGGTTTTCGGTATCACAATTGTGTGCCAAGGATGTGAAGATTTGGCAAGAAATAAGGAGAACTGCATTCTGCCTCGAATTGGGCTCGGGTTTTAATG